TCTAGATGGATTCCACGTGGCTCCCAAGAGATCCTGCTCCGCCTCAGGCCCTGGGTACTGAGAATGGAGGCTGGAAGATGGATTTAGGTGTGGGAATGGGGTGGAGGAGGAGTTTGTCTCCAAAAAGCCTTGGGAGTATGTACAAACTCTCTCTCTCTCCTCTGTTAAGTTGCCACTGTGCGTGGAGTGGCCACCAGGTGGCGCTCCTGTGACAAGCTCTGCCTTGTGGGTAGAATTTGGGGTCTAAGGATGCTGGAATCCATGGGTGGACCTGTTATATTTTTAGGTGAGCTGAGTGTCTTGATGGAATGAGAGAAGATCTGTCTCTTCTCTGCCAGTCTTCTGTTCATCACTGAATATCCCCAAGTGGATTTTTACTTTTTGTCTCCCAACCTGCTGCCCAGACTCCGATCTTAGCAGTTTATAATAGGGTCAATCAAATAAAAATGCATCTGGAGTGACTAGGACAGAGAACAGAGATGCAGGAGTGGGATCCTGCAGCGAATGTTGACCCTCAGGGCCAAAAAGAGAGGTGGCAGTTCTGAGAAGTTCTCCCTTTAGGGTGGGCTGCGCTACCCTAGAAGGAAGAGGCACTTGGATAGGCGGGGAGTGGCAGGCACTTGAGGGAACAGCTTGGTAGAGGTTTAGGGCCGGGCAGAGCACCAAGGGGAGGATGAGATGAGGTATGAGGCCTGCGCAGGTCAAGGAGGGTGTCAACATAACTGTCCAAACATGTAGAGAATTTTTGGGAGTTTATTTGAGTCAAACTGATGACAATTGCCAGGAAGCAAAACAAAACCTCAGCGGATTCAGAAGTGCCCTGGAGGGTGCATTTGTGCAGCTTATTTTATACATCAGAGTCAAAGGAGGAGATGCAAGAGTGGGGGTTACATGAAATCCACTGGTGGTAGATTAAGGGGGCAGGAAAAAGCAAAAACGGATAGGGGAAAATCTCTGGGATTAGATAAAAAGTATAATGGAGAGACACGCACTTCTTTTACGTTGGTGAGTACAGGATAGTTAATAACATTTACAGCATATAGGGATGGTATTCAGGGGAACAAGCTAACAGTGAGGGTTCTGTGGTCCCAGTGCTCTGGTGCCAGCCTGGCTGTGCCCTGAGGGGTCCGGAAAGCAGAGTACTCTGACGTTTCAAAGGTATGTTATCCTAGATGCAAGAAGACAATGGACAGGCTCCCTTGCTGGAAACATTGACTTCTGTCAAGGAAGCTACAGGCCTGGGATGTGACTCCCCGCCACGACCCACTTTCAGTCAGGCATTTTTACCTTCAGACCATCTGTGGGGCTACTTTGGTCTCTGAGTTTGTAAGGATCATGGTGGGTACAGACCTCTCCTGAGCTTGTCAGGTTTAGTGTGTGGCCCATTTTTCATTCATAAGGTTTTCCCCTGTACAGCTTGCCTGTTTCAGCCTTAAACCCCTTATGTGGTCTTCTGAGAGTCGGGCCAAGAACAGTGCTAGCTCAGGTGGTCGTGGCCATGCTCCTGCCTGTGAAGTAGCCATGCCTGCGCATGGCCAGCACGCAATAAGGGATTCCCAGGTGTGGCCTTCTGCCACAGACATCTTAGTTTTGAATTACTTACCAATATTTTAAAACTGGGAGTTTCACCAAAACCTTAACTTTCAGCTTCTCTGGAAAAATCAGACTATGTCACACTGGGTAGACTTCTCGTGGCCCCTGTGGGCTAAAGGGGAGTAGCCACTGTCCTGTGGACAGGGCATGTGCCCTCCCAGGGCTCCCAGCCCCACCCCACCTGCTTCACCATTCTTAAGGTCTCCCTTGTCTCTACCCCCAGCAGTGGGGTTGGGCTAGGGCAGTAGGAGTTGCTGTTGGTAGTTGCTGGAAGGCCTAGGTAGGCACCAAGTTCTGAGGACTCATAGCAGGGACGGATCTAGCAGGAAGGGCTGTTGTGGGCTTGGGTTCCTATACCTCCATCCTTTACCTCCCACAGGCCTCCTGTGAGGGTTAGGTTCCTCCTTTGAAGAGCAAGTGTAGCCATGGAATCAGGGCTGAGGAAGGACTCAGAAGGAGCTTGGAGAGTGGAGGACCCTCTGAGTAGGGGCTGGAAAGGCTTTGCTCGGAAGGCTGAGCAGAGCTCCTGGGGTCTCTGCTCCTTGGGGCCTATGAACCTCAGGGTTGTTGTGTGTGTCTATTTCTCTGATTTCCCATGGAGTCTTCTTGGATTTGGCTGTGCCTTAGCTGCCCTGCAGGGAAGACCCCATCACGGCATTTTTCCCTAGACAAGAGCTCCTCCCTCTACTCTACTGTAGATGGAATTTTGGGGAAGGGGCGGGCAGGAATGTGCCTCCCCCTCAGGCCTGTCAGCATCCACATCTGTTGCTCCCTTTGCTGGTCCATTTCCTATCATTGTCTAGGGGTGGGGATTGTGCTCCTGTCCTTGGTCCTGGCCCAGGAGCCAGCTGTGGCTTCCCATGAGGCAGGCAGGGAAGCCACATGCAAACACTGGTCCTGTGCTCTCCCCACCCCAGAGAGGGATACCTGCTGTCCTCTGTGCCCATATTCTAGCTACCCTCTCCCTCTCTAGAGCTACTACCCAAATCATGGGCCTGGTTCTCACCTCCCCTGGCTGTCTGTAGCCAAGTAGGAGTGGGATGCCATCTGGCCCTGGCCCTTTGCCCCTAGACTGGCTGGCTCGGGGATGCCCATTGGTGGCGAAGCAGGTGCTGAGCTGGCCATGGAGGAGCCCAGCCAGAGGCCCACCCTGGGATATGAGGTGGGATGGTCTTTAGCACTACCCCCTTACCCCAACCCCAGCCTGGAAAAAAAATTTCCCTGGCTCCTTCCCCACTTTCTCTTTGCTGCTTTGTTGCTTGGGAGGCTGAGCCCCTGGTCTGCCCTCCTGCCCAGCATCTGGTAACCTGGGCCCTGTCCCGGCCTTCCTTAGGGTTGTGTGGATCCAGACTCCAGCCTAACACAGCAGGCAGCCATGGGAGGGTGCATTGCATTCAGAGCATTATGATGTAGACGGTAAGGGTGTAGGCCCCATAGAGATTGTCCAAGCTTTAATCCCACCCAGCCTTTCTCTGTCTGTGACCTTGGGGATGTCACATATTCTCTCTGTTCCTTGGTTTCCCTGCTTGCAAAGGGAGCCAAATACTAGCACCTACTTCATATGATTGTGAAGATGAAATAAAGTGAGGCTAAGAAACATGCACAGAACATAGTGACCTCAGTGTTAGATATTGCCATTGGAGTCAGAAAGCCGGGGTTCCCCTCATGGCTCCACTAGCTGACCTTGAGCAGGGCCCTCACCCTCTGTGTCTGTTTCCTTCTTTAAATATGGGGTTATGCTCTCTCACTGAGGGGGAGAATGGAGGTGGCAGTGGCTTTTGTGTTGTGAGTTGCTGTGCACATGAGCAGTGTTACCATTGATTCTAAATTCTCAGTTCTTAAAAGCAGGGAGAAGCAATTTCTTAATTTGATTGCCTTTGCAGAGAAGGCAGACACAGGGTCAAAGTGCAGCAGGAGGCCCTGGGCTTGAAACAGAGTGTGAATCTTGGAGGCTAGCCTGGACCAGGACATGCTGCTGACTTTGGGGCCACATGTATGGGTATAGCGTGGGAGGGGCTCTTGGATGGCCCATAGCCTCCCTCTCTGGGGCAGTGTGCCTCTGGGCGTTAGGAAGTTGTTGGCCCCTCATAGTCCACCAGGAACCCAGCCTGCACTGTCTCTGGAGGCATCTTGGTTTCACCTTTTGGCCTGTTGGGGTATCTTAGGGCCCTTAGAGAAGATGGAGGGGATAACTGGAAACAAAATTTGGAATGGTAAAGCAAAACTCTCTGGCAATAATATATTTCTGGCTGTAGAGCAGGACAGGGCTGGGGCTGTGGTTAGGGCCAGGGCAGCCTGCTCCCTGTGTAGCTGGTGTCCGCAGTATATGAATCAGGTTCAGCTAGGTGTGTGGGTCCTGGAGACTCACGTGGATCTATGCTGCCTACTCCTCTCCACGTCTCCTCTCAGTGCAGTCTACCTGAGGTGGACATCTCCTAACCACTGGGTAAGTGGATTTCCCATCCATGGCTCCCTCAGGCACAAGCCAAGGTGGAGGGTCTGCCCCGCTCTGGGCACAACTCCTGGGTGAGCTGCCTGGTCTGCTCAGGTGACTGCACAGGGCCAGGGCCTGGGCCTGGACCCTGCAGAGAATCACCACTGGGTCTCAGTCTGCCCTATGTAGCTGGTGAGCAGATATCACCTGGAGTTTGTCTGACTCTGCTTCCTTACAGTGAGTCCTAAGCATGCAGGATGCTCCCTCTTTTTCTGCTTGAGTAAGGGGCCTTCTTAACTATATCCCCCTGCACTCACATGGAAATGAGTTTGGATTTTCTGAGCACACACCAGCTGGCTGCAGGGAGGCAGCCCAGAAGGCTGCTGGCTGGGGAAGGGGGAGAAGAGGGAAGAAGGGAGGGGCAGGAGCCCGCCAAGATGAAAATTCCACCTTCTCACAGCAGAGCAATGATGGGGCACTGAGTGCTCCCCACAGTTCATCGCAGCTCTGCCACTCAGCCACCTTAGGAAGAAGCTGTCAGCTCAGAGGGAGCCCTGTGCACCCGGGCCAGCCAGCCCTCGAGAACCACAGCCTTCAAGGTCCGAACCGCTGAGCTGGCCATTAGCGAGGTACCTGGCGTGTACACGTAGACGTCTGTGCTGTGCTGTCGGAGAGGTCCTCTCCGACTCCCTAGCCCAGCCCTATCACCGGCTGGGGGAGTGGATCCGAGGCCCTGAGAGGGGACCGGGGGCTACCGCAGATCAGAGACGACCACAAGTCTGCCTTGCCCCCATCCGCCGGGGTTCTCCCGTGGAAGTGCCGGGGAGCAGGTGGCGAAGGTTCCCCCGGCGGTGGACACTGCGCCCCCTGGGGGTAGCCCGGAGGCGACAGAGGCTGAGAGGGGGCGGGGGGGGGGGGGGGGGGGGGGTCACGCGTTTGACTCCGCCTCTTGCTGGTATCAGCCCGTGCTCTGGTGCTGGCTCAGTCTGGGCAGCTCTGCTCGCCGTCGTCGCTCGGGGACCGCGGGATGACACCGCCTCTGCCCGGATGCACCGCCCTCGGCGTCCTGCCCTCCCGCGTCCCCGGCCGGCCGCCTCGGTCCCGGCTCCCGCTGCGGCTGCTACTGCTGCTGCTCTGGGCGGCCGCCGGCACCCACGGCCACGCGAGGATCGGACCCCGCGTCTATGCTGTCTGGAAAGGTGGGTGGCGCCGCGCAGGGGGCAGAGCGCGGGTCCGCGGGTTGGGTGCAGAGTGTGTGGCACCGGCTCGGCGCGCTGCGGTCCCGGGCTGTCCTCGCGGGGAGCGTGCGGGTCTGGGTGAGTGTGCGTGTGAGTGTGCGTGCTGACACACTGGAGTGGCAGGAACAGGAACGCTGCGGGGAGCTGGCGGGGGGCTGGGGGGGGGGCTGCTGGAGCCCCGGCTAAGTCACTGCTAGTGCGCCCACAACTGAGAGCCGCAGTGCCGGGGCACAGGGGAAGGGAGCGGGCCCCTCTCTCCACGCAGGGGAGCTCTCGGTCCTCCAGCGCTGGGCCACTGGTCAAGACCCCCCTTTCTCCGCCTGGGACCTCCACCCACGTCCCCTTTCCTGAGCTGCGGGCTGGGCTCCGCTGTCGCACAGGGGCCGGGCTGGGCCAGAGTGGGGGGGGGGGGCTGTGGAGGGGGAGGCGTGGACCCCTTGCTGCCGCTGCTGCGCTCTGGCTGTGGGAACAAAGACCCTGCTGCCTGCCCCCGCCCCGTCCCGGCCCAGAGCACAGGCGGTAAAGGGTGGGCACCCTGTGGTGAGCTGGGACGCGGTAAGGTGCAGAGGCTTGGGGCACCTGGGCGCTACCTCTGCAATGCCGGCACCTGCACCTGCCGCTCCCCCCACCCCCACCAGGTCCGCACGTGGCAGTTGTCACCAGGAATAGGTGCCAGCGTGGGGGGCACTGCCTGTTGGGCGGGGCGCGGCCGTTGGAACCCCCAAGGTAGGGGCTCTGGGCGGGGGTGCGGCTGTTAGGCTGCCGTAGCTATGTGAGCCTGAAGGACCCGAGAGTCTGCCTCAGGGGTGACTGAAGTTTAAAACCCCCACACAATGGGCCAGAAAGCCGGCTAGGTGGGGTTTGAGGCTTTATACCCTGAGGGACTGAGCTCCCTCCCCTGCACCGCACGTAAATGCTTCCCGCCCCTAGGACGAGTGGGTTCGGTCCCCAAATTAGACGGATCTGCGGCCCCCTGTGGTGGTGGTGGTGGTGGACTCGGGGTGGGGGCTGAGGGGACCTGCGGGTCTGGAGCTGCGGGTCTAGACCTGTCTGGGCCCTTTGATGCCTGAGGCGGTTTGCAGGGATTGCCAGGGCCTGAGCATTATCTGGGGCAGGTATTCTTAGCAGAGAGAAGGGGGAAAAGCTCACACAAAACCAGTGTCTCAAACTGCATCTGCAGCAGAGAGATTGTGACTTGCCCAAGGTCACTGGGCACGTGTGAGCTCGCAGTGCAGACGCCGCCTCTGATCTGGCACAGAACCTGTGCTACTGCTGGGTTAGGGAGGGGGGGAGGATTTAGGCAACTCCTTGGCCAGGAAGGAGGGACTCTGGGGGGCTAACTCTTTGTTATTCAGCCTGAGGTATTCCAGGTGGGAGTGCAGCAGGGCAGCCGGACATTTGGCCGCCTACTCACCTCGAACACCTGCATCCTAGGCTTCCTCTGCCTTCCCAGAATCTTTGCCTTGCATCAGACCCTTTGGCTGCCCTGGACAGCCCAGCATTTGGGCCCTCTGAAGGGGGCCAAAGGACCATATCTGAGTGTTCTAGAATCCCGTGCCCCGCACCAAACCCCTTGCATTTGGCACTGCTTGCCCCCACCCCCAAGTCTTCCCAGGACCTCTCCCCCCACACACATACTTAATACACGCCCCTCTCTTAGCACGTAATATGCACTTCCCCAGCACTTAGCCTCTCCGCCCTGAGGCTGTTGGAAGCTGCTTTAGGTTCTTTTGCCCACTTTCCAAGTCTCCCAGTGCAGCTCCACCTCTCTCCCCTGCACATAGTACACTCCAGTAGCCACACCGGCTGTGCCCTCTGCGTGGCAGTACACTAATGGCCTCTGCTGGAGTCTGTCCACCCCTCACCTGGCGTGTCCGAGGGCAGCCTGGGGTCTTCTTCATCAGTGCCAGGCACCCCACTGGTCAAACAGACCCTGCCATCCGCCTGTCCCCCCGGGACCACCAGCTGGTGATGGTATATGCTGGCTGACAGCTGCCTTCTGTCTCCTCTGGGTGACACATGGATGGAATGGGCTTGGGCAGGGGAAGGCTAGGAGTGGGATGAGAGGAGAACCCTCCTGGCCTTTCGTTAGTGTCAGCCTCCTTCCTGTCTACCAGTGGGCTGGGGGGTTGGGGGTGGCCTTGAAGAACAACCAGACCAAGGATAATGGTGGTTCCAGAGCCACTTCTCTATGAGGCATAGGCTGGGGGTTTAGTTTAAAGTCAAGACAGGTATGGGGACTGGACCAGGTATGGGGGGGTTCTTCTCTGTCATTTATTTTCTTCTTGTTGGACCACTTCACCTTGGGGGAAGATTAGGTTGGGGAGTCCTGGGAGGGTCCCGGCCTACACTTGTCCAGGGAGGCTGGGACCTCCAGCGTGTGTGTGTGTGTGTATGCACATTTATTTAGTTAGTTAGCTACTTTTTAAGTTTTATTTTATTGAGAGACCTCCAGCATATTGAGTCCCGGCTCAGCAGCTCTGGGCAGAGAGAGATGTGCTGGCACTAACCTGCTGGGTGCCCTTGACCTCCACACCCTCAGAGTTCACCAGAGCAGGAAGGGCTGTGGAGGTTGTTCCCTGAGGGCTGTCCCTGACACTGGGCCAGGCAAAGGTAGGACTGTTTGGGCCTGACCTCCCTGCAAGGAGGGGCTGAAGAGGAGTGTGCTCCCGCTGAGGGCAGGAGACTGGCGTGCCTGAGGAAGCTCTGCGCCCCTTTCCCATTCCATCCCCGGTTGGAGGAGATGGAGAAGCTTGGAAGGTCCTGGTCCCCAAGGTCAGAGGCGAGCCAGCCTGCTGCCAAGGAGAAACAGAGCTCAGTCTTCAGTCTGCACCTGCCCAGCTGGTTCTGCCCCTCCCTTGTCCAGTCCAACAACAGGATGTTGTTGTTGACTTGGAGGCTGCTGGGGGAGCTATTACGGGGCTAGTCCCCAGGGCAGGGGTTGTTGTGACCTCCTCCAGGGGATGAGGTCACAGCTGGGGCTCCCCAGGCATCAGCATTTCCAGTGGAAATCCTGGTCCCCTTGAGAATTTAAGATGTGTTCTTCTCACCTTCAGGGTAAATCCCCTGCAGAACAGGGTGGGGGCAGTTTCCAGGAGGAGAGAGGCCGAGTCCTAGGCTGGCAGAGATGAGAGAGATGCTCTGTGATGCCCTGGAGCTTCCTCCCGAGCTCTGTGACCCTCTGGGATGCTTGCATCTTTGGGATGGGCAGAGGGTTTGGTGGTCTGTTCAAATCTTAGTGATGAGGAGAAATTAAAGCCTGAAAAGTGAGGGTAAATCCTTGAGTTTCATATTCTTTTCTTTTTCTCTCCTGAGCCAAAGAATAGAGGAAGTGCCTTAATCGGTTTTTGGCCTGAAGGGTAGACATAGTATTTCAGCATTTTTGACATTCTGCATTTGCTGGGGCCAACCTGTGCTGGTCCAGAGGCTGTGCTCGGGGACCCAGGGATGAGAAACTCAAGTTTGTAGAGTTCTCAGTGTAGATGGCGAACAGGCAAGTCAACTTGCAGTCGTGATGAAATGTGGTAGTAAGGGGGGGACATTGAGTGCCTTGACCTCAGGTTTCCAGGAGGGTTTCTTGCAGGAGGGAAGTCTGAGCTCAGCCGCCTCACCTTCCACAGCCATCCCTGCAGTGGAGAGGAAGGACTGTGGCTGTCAGGGGAGGCCTCCGTGGTGTCGCAGCTTCCTGATGGGAAGTTGGGCCTGGGGCCTGGAAGATCGTTCCCCCTGACTCCTGACTGTGGGGATTCTCCAGCTGAGGCCTGGCCCTCAGCAGAGACTTTCCATGGAAGGGAGAGAATTCCTCCAGCCGCAGCCAGGCTCCGCTTGTCAAGGGGTGCGGGTGCAGATGCCCTTCCTCTGACCAGCTGCCCCTTCCAGAACCTTCATCTCTCTAGCGGGGGTAGATCACTCCCTGGCTGGGAGAAGCAGGGAAAGCTGGGCACCCTTTTATGAGGCGGGCCAGAGCCCCTTATGTGCAGGTGGGAAGTAGAGGCTCAGCCCAGGGAAGGTGGTGGCCCTCGTGTTGACAGCTGTGGTCCCCTCTGACGTCCTGTCTTCCTCCCTCAGCCCCACGTCACTGTTTCAGCCACTCCGGGGTTGTCTAGATGTCACAAGAAACTGACTACACTTCCCCTGCTTTGGTTGGCAGTTCTGGGGCTGGAAACTTCCCCCTTCTCTTGATTTCCTTTTTTGGCAAAGCCTGGCTGTCCCACAAGCCTTCTGTCTCTCAGTGTGGGGGAGAAGGGGTCCTCTTTAGAGCATGGAGGACTGTGGCCTTTCACTGGCCCCCACAAAATGGGCATTCCCCTTCCCTAGTCAGCCTGGGCCATGAGGGCCCACTAGATCCATCCCCTCCTGGCCCCTCTGGTACAAGGGTAGAGGTGGTTCTCCCCTCCAGTTGGCCTCCCAGCCCTTTATTTCCCCAGCCTTGGCCGGGCCCTGCTGTGTCTTCACGACTGTGCCCTGGCCTCTGTGAGGCCCTTCATCCCTCTGTGTCGCTGTGTTGCGAGTTTCTCGCTGGGACACAGAGACAGAGCTGCCACTTTCCCCAATCCTACAGGGTAGCCCAGGCCCACCTACCCTTTCTCTTCTGTACTTCCCCCCTCACCACTCCTCAGCTCCCCGTGTTTTCCTGCCTCAGGGCCATTGCCCTACTGGTCATGTCTCGCTGCACCCCATTCCTCCTCCTCCTCCCTGCCAGTGCTATCTCACTTCCTCCGAGGAGCCTTCTTGGATGGATTCAACCCACACAACCTGATGGGGTAGAGTTCCGGATATCAGAAAAAAAAAGCAGCGTCATATCAGCTGAGCCAACCACAAGTTCCACAGATGCGGAAACGGAGGATAGCACTGTGTCTTCTGCTGGAGCCTACCCCTGGCTCGGCTCTTGGCCTCCCTCAGTTTGTCCGTCTGCCGTCATGCTCTGTCCCCAGGCTTGGGGTTCCGAGTCCCTTTATTCC